TTGAATACCTATCATGAGTCGAGCTCAAAATCGAAATAGACTCTATTCTGTTTTTTGCTCTATTTTTTTAACCAAAGATGTAATAGATGTTTTATTGGCAAGAAATTGTGTACCTGACTTCAGCTGCTAATTGTTTCCACCGGGTAATGAAACTCACTGAACAAAAGCATGACAAATCAACTTAACTAAGTGTTTTAATTATTATTTTATCAAAACTCTTTTATCCCAATTCTTCAAACTGCAGTTGCTGAAACATTATTGGCAGGTTTTTTGACGAAATAAAAGACACAAACTACCAAAGCATATGCAACACAGCATTTTCACATCCAATTTTCATCATTTAGTTGGTATAATCGAAAAGATCCCAATGTCTTCTTACCATGGCAAGTATGCGACGCTGACAGCCACCAACATGGCCCCACAACACATACAGTACGCTCTCTTAGCGGTCATGAGCTGAAGAGTGAACAAAAGCAACTTCATCTTCTTCCAATTTCCCTTTCAGTTTCAATAGTTCTAATTAAACTTAACGTAAATGTCACCTTTGATCGCGAGAGAAAACTTTCAATTGACGTCAAGCTTTCCAAAAATGGTCATATGCTGCATGGTTTAAAAATACACAGAATATCCAATTATATGGTGCCACCTGAATCAGTGGCTCCGATCTTTATCGACTTCCAACGAACTTCTTTTTACTGTGCAAAAGTTTACCCTTAACAGTTAAAATTCATTTTCAAAACAGTTAAATTCAAACACCGAGAACTTAAGTTGATTTAATTTCCCACACTCACAACCTCAAACAGCAAGGGAGATCAAGTTTCAAAAAAAATCTAGAAAAAAATCCTAATTCATTTTCAATCTTAACTCCATTTTTTATTTTTTTTGTACAGGGCGATTGACTTTAAAAAATCTCAAGCTCTAAATATAATTATATCTAAATACGACTCGAAACATATATAGAAAACTGAATTAGAACTTAGTAATGACATCAATAAATGGGGTGCAATCAAGTCATCAAATTTTCAGACCAACTTTTGATTTTGAAAACCGAGCCACGGCTGAAAAGGCATCAATATCCCGATCCATTCAAAGAGCTATAATTTTTTGAGGTACTCAAAATCAGCCTGAAAACATCACACTCATAGTTCCTTCCCAATTCGTAATGTCTGAACAAATATTGAGAAAACGCTCCAAAGCAAAAAAAATTGAATTTTTTTGGATGCTTTTCAAGAAAATGGAATATCATATTGAATTTGTTAATTTTTTTTACAGTCAGTCAATCATACAATTCAAAGACAGATATCTTTTTTTGTATTTTCCCGTTGCGAGTGTTTACTGATAGATTTTTCGGGTTAAAATGATAAACTACTTTAAATGAAGGACTTAAATTTCTCTCATTTATATTTGTTTAGTTTTGAAAACTTTCTCGGTTTATCAATTAGTAATTACTTAGTAATGGGGAACAGAAGAAGTTGCTTTTTGGGTGCGTGCAATGAATAGAAAGTGACAATTAACCGATTACGCATAAATGCAGTCCAGTAATTCCAGAAATCTATGTTTGAAGTTATTATACTAATAAACAAGCCGCAGAATTGACATGATTAAAAAGTTCTATATTTTTTATTCCTTGCCGTTCATTTTTTTTGTTTTTCGGTTAACTGGACTTTCTCTTCATTGCACCAGCACCACTGTTCTTTCCTGGTGCACAGCCCACCGGATTGACAGGTAGCGGTCAATTGCAATGTTAAGGAGCATGAGAACTGAGCCACACTCCATAAACATGGCCAGCTAAAAATAAAAACAGAAACATCAACAAAATTGTCAAAAACGGCATCATCAACTTCATTTTGCTAGTTTGGGACTGTAGTCCCGGATGAAATTAGAGACTTCGCGAAAGTATGTCCAGATTTTGGTGTTTGCAGATTATCGCAAGCAAAGTCTGGTTATAAGACGCCGACCTCGAGCCGGAGTACTCGAAGTAGATGCACACAGTTCCTTTTCATCTAAATATAGACAGAATATTGTAGATTGACGTACCTGAGTAGTGAAGTCGGGAGGCTCCCTGCATGAATCATACGATGAGAATACAAACCAGTAGTCCACACCCATCAAACCACAGCATCCGGACAAATTGATAAAAGCCAGAAATAAAATGAAGATCTCATAGGTGCATTTTGTACTTTTCTGGACGTACACTGAAGCGACCAGGAAGTTCAGAATTGTTCCCAGAAGAGCGCACGTGATCAAAAATACAGACGCTAAGTTGCACTCGGTTTTTGTGAAATACATGTTCTCGTATTTTGTCATGCCGCCTGCATTAGTTTCATCGGCACTTTCGTTGTTGCCAGTTGAGACGACAATAGAAGTGAACGAAGAGTTATCCATTTTGGAAAGCTGTTTATATGATGTTTGTTTGCGGAAATCGATTTGGAACTAAACGTATGTTGTAGAAAAGTTAAAGTGGAATTTTTCTTACCATGCGTGTTCTATAATCTGAAGTGTAAAAACTTTATAGTGCCAATTAAACTAGCAATTAGTTGAAACTCAAGAAATCGAACGTACCGTGCGACCTGAGGGTTGAAAACTAATGAAGATTCAAAATATTTTTGACGTTGGCGGTTGTGTTTCATTTAATATTGATGCTAGCCACGAGAAATTAGGTATGATGACGACACAGTTATATAATTTTGCAAAGCGAGGAAAATACAAATTGAAAGGAGAAGGGGGAGGAATTTGAGCAAGAAGAGGAAAAACAAGCTATAATTTCCGGTTTTATGGCCCCTGCTGCTTACCCATTATGGACCAGTTGATATAATCTATTTTCAGAGTTGAAAAGCAGGTGTACTTAAAATTTATACCCACTCTGATTGAGAAGCGAAGCGTGCTCTTCTTACGATTGGTGAAGAGAGATACTCCTTTGAGATATTTATGCCCTCTCTAAAATAACTGTTTGTTGATTTGTTTGCTCAGGCTGGAAGCATTTAATTCTTCGTATCTGATACCAGACAACCGAAAGTAACAATGAAGTTGCCAGAGATTACTATCGCAAATGAATTTTCTGACAAGTGCCTTAATTGTTTTTTAAGTAACTACAACTTAAATCGGGATTGTTTTAAGCAATGTTTTATTTCAATATATAATTCCGTTTGATTTACTGTTAGCTCCTAAAAGCCAATAAAATTCAAGAGATACTTTTTTTTCGAGCTTTGTTCCGGTGAAATAACAGGCTCTGAAGCTTTTTCAGTAAAAGTGTAGGGTAATTGATAAAATTTACTGGGGCAGTAAACCTAAAACAAAAACAATCTAACTACAGGAACGTCAAGGCAATTTACTGGGTGCAGTGTTGTTTAAATTTGGCTGCAGTTTCAAAGCCGAGATAAAATCATTTGATTAGCTCAAAATCGTGCTTTTAAGTGGAGCACAAGGTGACAACATTTTCTTTCGAACTATAACTTGTACAGAGTCATTTTATACTTTTAAAAACAACTATACATTTTTTCATGTACATAGTTTTTGAGACAAGAAAAAATTGATGAGAAAAAATCATGTTCAGTAAATCTTTGAGAGAAATCCTTAAGATCTTTGCGAGCATTGTCTTCCTTCGAAATCTTATAAACATCTTTAAGAGCTTTCCTTATAATTTTTCGAGCAAACCTACGAAAGTTTATAGTAGAGTTTTTGCTTTCTTCAGAGATTGTTGGCAAGATTTTACCAAAGTAAGAAAACTCTTCATGAGATTATTCAGGTTTTTCGAGATTTGTCAAAGATCTCCTACACTGCTGGAACTTAAGAAAGTGTTATCAGAGCAACACCATCTTTGCCAAAGCATTGCAGAAATTTAAGTTAGCAGCGTTCCGATGGGGGGGGGGGCTGGCCTTTAAAATCTGCCTGCTTGCCAAAATTCAGATACTTTGCTACCAGGGGCGGATTTAGCGGGGGGGGGGGGGGGGGGGGGGGCGGATGCCCCCCCTCAGGGATTCGACCCCCTGCCGACCCAAAGGGTCCCCCCTTTGATACTTTTTCAGAAATCCATTTTTGGCCGACCGACCCTAAAATTTTTTTGTCAAAACTTTTAACGCGATTTTTTTATCAAAATTTTTCAAAAAGTGCCCAAAAACGGCTTTTTTGACAGTTTTTTTCAAAAATTTGCCTGCGGCGCAGAAAATTTTGCCAAAATAGGGGCAAAACAGTGCTTTGGGAGAGCTCGAAAAATTAATTTGGTCGACCTAAAAAAAAAGGTCGTCAAAATTTTGGAAAATTTTTTGAAAATCCGCCCCCCCCCCCCCTTGAGAAAATCCTAAATCCGCCCCTGTTTGCTACTATTTTATGACAGCAATTTAAGTGACGAAATCTTGAATTTTCTCAAGTCGTCTTCAAAGCTAGTATGAACTAATTTGAGAGGCAAAAAAATGCCTGCAGCGGAGAAAATATGGCAAATAATGTCAATATAGAGATTAATAAATACGCTCCTTAAAATCTTGAAATGGCTTGCCGTAGCCGCAAAACCGACAATTTTCTTTAAACATTTAATAACCCTGCGCACAGAATTTTTTGTTGATAAATTATAAAAAAATTTGATAGATCTTCATTAGACAGAAACAGCTTGTTTTCAAGTGTCTTTTTTGAAGATTCCTTTTAACAGTTTTAATCATTACTATTTTTTTATAATTTTGTGCTCAACTTTTGTTTTTATTTTCCCTAGCGATGTATTGAAGTGTCCAAAAAACCGGGTGTTTGTTACGCTTGCGATTAGCAAGCGTTATCAAACCAGAATGTAGACTTTTTTGGTTAAACATTTTTTTAACAGAATCCTTTGGTTTATATGAAATTAAAAAAACGGATGTTAATTTGCGCATGTGGTGAAAAGCTAACGCATCTGCTTATAAAGACAAAAATCAACATTTTGAATCCAGCTTACGGTTCGAATCCGGTTTTTTATTAGTGGAACTTTGTCCGCGCGTCAAAAAACCTTTGTCGGTCTTCTGATTGTCTGTTTTTTTGTCAGCATAGTTTCCGCAGCACAGGCGCGGATCTAGGAATTTCTCGAGGAGGGGGGCAGATTTTCAAAAAAAAAATTGAAAATTTTGTCTACGTTTTTTTAGGTCGACCAAATTGATTTTCTGAGCTCTCTCAAACCACTAAAGACCCAAAAATTTGAACAAAGATAGCGTTTTTTCGGCGTGCGCTCTCCCCTCAAAATTAGTATAGATTGACACTCAAGGCGTTTTTAGAAAAATTTAAAAATTGTATAAAGGGGGACCCTTTGGGTCGGCAGAGGTTCGAATCCCTGAGTGGGGGACGTCCGCACCCCTCCACCCCCCCTAAATCCGCTACTGCCGTAGCACCAATTTTTTCTAAAATTTGGGATTTATCATGGTTTTGGGTAAGTAGTTAAGCTTATTTTTTTGCTATTTTGTTTCATTCTGTTCATTAAAAATAGTTGGAAGTTGTTTTCTTTATAAAATCAAGGATTGTTCCGTGCATCTGAAGTAATCAATGGTAGCACCCATGCTTTAGACGACAAATCCCAAATGTTTGATTCCAGTCGGGACTTTTTTTTATTTGTGGAAACTACAAATGTTCGAATATTTCAGAATTTCGTGACTGCTAATTGTTTTCGTGGTAGGTCTTGCTGAAACGTTCGGTTTTTTAAGCAATTTGAAGGCAAGTGAAATTTTTAATGGGTTAGGTGATTTTGTTGCTGTATTTTTTTTTGTCCACTTTTGCAATTTTTATAAATGCTTTTGACAAAAAAAATCTGTTTTTTTTTTCAAGATTTGTTTTTTTTTCAATTTTTGATTGTCTTTTTTTACTGGTAATGCGTAGCTCCGTTTGCCTCTGTGTTTGAATATTTTGTAATAACCCTAGTTTTATTTATTGGTAAAATAGATAATTCTGATAAGATTGAGACAAAAACTCAGACAAATCAGTCAAAAACAATGCAGCCACATAAATTAAAGAAAACCACATCAGAAAATTTTTTCATTTTTTTTCAAATTTGATGAATCGATTCGTTAAATCGTTCTTATAAAATATTTCGCGTCGATAAAAAGTGTTTTTGTCATATTAAGCACATAAGCACTGACCGTTTGCATCACAAGCCGCAACAATTTTGTGAATTCTCAAAGGATTTAATGGTCTTTGAGAAATTATTTTTACAAAAATACCACGATGACAGTAGTTGGACGGATTTCAGCTGTGACCGTTTTGAAAATAGTTTTTTGCGAAGAACGTTTTTTGTTGAGCCAGAATTGGTTTTCGCTTGGTTGAAAATTTTCGCGGTGTTTTATTTTGCAGTAAAAAAACCTAGTTCATCAAAAAATCACGAGGAATAAATCAAAACTGCAGCTATTAGAATCTACGAAGCAAGATTTAGAAACAGGCGTAACTTAAAAACGATAACTTGTGGTGCGTCGTTGTTTAGTCTTAAACATGACGTCAACAGTGTGCTAGCTATTCGTGCTAAATTCCATTATCGGTCAAGGTCGTTACCGACCTGCCAATCCACTCTAGCCTTAACAGCATGCGCTCTCTATTCATTCTCTTCAACTTATGAAAGATTTAAGTTGTATTTACTTCTATTGTCATGACATAATTTAAATACTAATCTATCTATATTATTTATATGATAACATAACAAGGAGAATTGATTCTTGTTTTAAAACTGTCTTTCGACGATTCACATGGCGCAGCCAGCAGTTTCGACCTCAGAGGATCGAACTGACCTGTTGGGCGTATCCGTATTTTGGCATAAACCAACTGCGGACCCACCACATAGCTGGGGTTCGTGGATAGGTCAATTCAATTTGGCAATTACTCTAAGAGAGAGATGCGATCCACGAGAGTTATTAAAACCTCCGGGTGTCGTACACGACGATCCTGCTCCAAAACCAGAAGTTGTGGGCGCGGATGAAGATGCTGCAGCAATCGCAAGTCGTATTGCACGTAATGACGCGGCGGTCCGGAAAGTCACAGAAATGAATGAAGAGCGCCGGGCGAAAGGTCCCCGAGTTGCACCAGGAGTGTATTATTTCGAGGTTGAATACGTGTTAAATCTCGTTTATTTTTCATGCGGATCTGAGCGAATTAACTTTTCGGGAATTCCATGAATTCTGTGTTCTCCTATTCAGAAAGGAGAAAAATTTCATCATCGAACGTATGCAAATATACAACGCGGTACATTCAGACCGAGAAAGTTTGGAAGCATTCTATTTACGTTTGACGGGACAAGCCGCCCTGTGTGGATGGACAATTGATCAAGAAAAGGAAGTCGTACGAGATATCTTCATTGCCAAAATGAGATATAAGGATATTCAGAGAGAATTATGTATTCATCCAGGTGCTACTCCGGAGGATTCTCTGAAATCAGCTTTACTGCAAGAAAAGGGAGCACAAACGGCCACCGATTTGCAAAGGCAACTCGGGAGTTCGTCGTCGTCGGGCAATTATTCCCAGGCAGGTGCTACCTTGGGTCAGAATTCCCGGATAAAACAGGAACCCACCTTCTCTGTCCAGGGTAAGAAACTTTCGGACAGGATTAATCGGGCACAGAATAGTAAGAAAAAGGGGATCAACGAGAAATCGAAGTCGTGTTATTTCTGTGGTAACAGATTCTCAACAAACCACAAGCAGAGTTGTCCAGCCAGAAATGTTACTTGCAGGAACTGTGACAAAAAGGGTCACTTTGCCAAATGTTGTAACTCTAAGAATGTAGCGAATGTGGAAGCTGAGTCAGATGAGACAGTGGAAGAAACTTGTAATTTCATCACGTCCGATAGTGAGTCGGAATTCACTGTTTTATCTGTAGCAGCAGTGAAACCAAGTCTCCCAATTAGGTCAGTGAAAAAGTTGGAGGTGATCAATGCCGCCACGGGCAAGTTACGTTCCATCCAGATAACACTACGTTGTGGTAAGACGTTTTTCAAGGCAACAGTGGATACTGGGAGTCCAGCCTCCTTCGTGAATAAGAAGGCAGCAGACTATATTCTGAAAACGGTTCCTTCAGCCAAGTTCTTCACGGTTCAAGAAAGTCCAATTGATACAGTATACGTTGACTATAATCGGAAGAAAATTGAATTGATGGGTACGTTAATTATGGATGTATCATCTTTGGGATGGCATATCAAGTCTGCAAAATTCCTTATTTCAGAAAATCGCACACGTTGTTTACTGGGTTTGGATTTGCAACCCCAATTGGGAGTAAGAACAACGCAAGTTAGACCAGATCGTCCTTTGGTGGGAGAAGTCTCCCAATCAAACCCGAATTTAACATCGGATTCATGGAAAT